AGGCTGTGCAATGTATATGCCATGTTTCCTTTCTCTCTTTTTTATCAGATTACATGGAACAATTTAGCCCTTCAGAGGGTCAAATGTTACAGCTTTCTGCCAAATATTTCATAAGTTGGTTTAAATGAGATTTCCAAACAATTGTGTAAGTAACACATAAATCAAAAGAGAGGAATGGAGGGAGAAATGGCTTTCATATAGAAAGCTATTTTATTACTTTAAAAAAAACCATTTAAACCATTCTTCAAATATAAAACCTAAGATGCTATTAACTATATAAGATAAATGTAATATAACACCACTAGGTTTTCAAAAAAGAAAGTATAAGACTTTTAAACTAGCAGTTTAATTTATTCAGTAAGTATACCGTCTTTTTGTTTAACTGAGAAGTTAAAGCAGCTGGCAACAATTAAAATATAGAATATTCAAAGCTAGAAGAACTAATACTAAAATTAATTAATAATGAATTATCATGAAAAAAATGCATTTTGGTTTGTTTGCAAAAGCTGGTGATGTCCAAGCACAATTCCTGAAGCAGTACATTCCAGATCTAGTTAAGATTTTAAAATCTCCGGAGTTGAGTTTGATTCTTAGTGACTACATAGTTATGTTGATATAATGTTTTTGTCAGAAGGCAGAATGGTTTGCCTTTGCTTTCTTCCAATTTCCATATAGAAGACAAGATTTTAAAATTTATTGAAAATTCCTGTCAGAGGGAAGGAGTTCACACTGATTTGATGCTGAAAAGCATCAAAATACAATACATCTCTTTTTTGTAAGCCGCCCGGAGTGCTTCGGGATTGGGCGGCATATAAATTTTGATAATAAATATAAAAGAAAATATGGATAAATCTTCCTATTAAGGAATGATGCATAGTCACACATGAAAGAAGAAATAAATGCACATTTATCATGTTTTCGTAATTATGTTTATGGCAGAACTTGCTAGTGGCTAGTTCAAACTGCTGGTGAAGATGTAGGATCCAAGATAAAGAAATGAATGGCAACAGTTATGAATGTTTGTAAAATGGGAACAGATAGGTGTGGAACACAATAGGTTCTCATCCAGCAAATCTAACCACTGGTCCATCTAAGTGTATTTTTTTTGGGGGGGGGGGATATATTTTTATTATTTTTACATTTAAAACAATGCAGTACCACAAAGTCGAAGTGACCATACATTCAGATTATATACAGCTAGTCTCAACCATTAACAATTAGCCTACTTAATACATTGTCTATCCTTCTGTCCAATCACAATATATACAGTTTGTTCCAGTCTTGTCACCTTGTCTTATACCAATCATAAAATCTGTTCCAGACTTCAAAATATTCTGATTCCCCTTTATTTTTAAGTTCAAGAGTGAGCCTATCTGCTTCCGCACAGGCCAACACTTTTCTGATCATATCTAGCTCTGATGGTGTATTTTCTTTTTTCCAATATTGTGCACAAGTTATGCACCCCGCAGTTAGTACATGTATAATTAGATAAAGTGTAAAGATTTCTGGTTTAAACAAGATTTGGTCTCCCACCATTTGTTATAACCATGATTGAATCATTTTCCAATATTTTTTTGCCTCACTGCACGTCCACCACATATGATAAAAAGTGCCTGGTGTTTTTTTACACTTCCAACAATTTGGGGCCAGATTTGTAAACATTTTGGAGAGCCGTGCTGGGGGGAGATGCCATCTGTAGAACATCTTATAAAGATTTTCTTTATACGCTGTGGCCATTGTTAGTTTCTGAATAAGTATTCAAAGTTTTTCCCACTTAGCCAATTCCACATTATAACCGAAATTTTTCGCCTAGGCGAAAAAGTGTATTTTTTATATACTGATTAGTGGTGGCTCTTGAGGGTTGTTAATTAGATTATTTTCTGGTTGTATTATAGTGGTAGCTGTCAGGACCTGAGCTTCTGACAAAATTCATTTTGCTTCACCCAAAACAAAAACTGTATGCCTACTGAAAGTGTACTTGCAAAATATCTAGAGACTTTTGTGGAATTGATGAACTCCATCAATTCATTCTGAGGAGGCTTGTCCTCAGCAATTATTTTTTGTAAACATAACAAGCATCCTTGGCTACTTTCCAACCTCCTTGTCCTCACTCCAATTAAAAAAATTTTTTTGATGATGTTGGGAAGGTTGATGTTGGATATGGCCTTTTCTGGATAAGATAATCTTTCTCTTATGCTTCTGTGGGAAAAATATAACTGAGAATCAAGGAGAGGCTGCCAAGCTAGGGAAGAACCCAAGAAATAAATAAAGTTCTTGATTTTAGCATCTCATGTCTGCCCTAGTGTGAAATAACTGGTGACACATTAGTCTGTCTGATGAATGTTTCACAGCTTCAGGCAAGCCATAAGCTTTTATCATGTTCCAACCATGGAAACCTTTTTTTTTTTGCTTGAGATGAGGTTGACAGATTGCTTTAATGGGATACACCCTTTTTTCAACAATGAAAAGTTAATCCTCATCTTGTCTGGGGTCCTATGGGGAAGATCACATTTTTCTAGCCTTATCTGAAGCAAAACAATCGCACATTTCTAAAGATTTTGAGGGCAAGTCTGAACAAAATATTATTTTAAACATTTGAATCAAGAATGGCTTCAAAGTTGATTAAAAACAAAAACATAAGCAAGAAAATCTGGTAAATCATAACCATGCAACGAAACAGTAAAGAATATACCAGACTAGCAAATAAGGCTAATGTACCCTCCCCCCAATCCGGTTGCTCTTAATCCTTTTTTTAAAATAGCATCTTCTGAATCACATGAAATCAGGATTAAGACATAGATTATATTGTCTTTTGCTATCCCTGCTAGCATAGGCACAGAAGGGCACTTTGCCATTTTTCCAATAGAGGAAAAAAAAATGCCATTTGAATTTAAAGTAGCAGCCTCATCTTAAGAAATAGCCTGTTTGCCTCTTTCAGCTTGATAATCCTTTTGTTGTGTTGGGAGTAAAGAATTCCCAGCATTGAGGCCAGTTGAAGGAAGGGCTGCCTCCCCGATCTTTTAGAAAATGGTCACCAGCCCTTTTTTGTTACATCATTTTCTTTATTAGTTTATAATCTAAAACACAAAAGAAAATAGTGGGAAAATAAGGGAGGGAGAAGGAAAGGGAAACCTGTAGGGCAAAGGGGGGAAAAAGAAAGAAAAGGTGTTACTTCTCACAAGTGCATGCACACACAGTTTGAAGGCCTGGAATACGTGACTGCTTTCATTTCTTGTGGATGTTTGTAGTTGCATGTTCACTTTGAGATGTAAATTCCACATTAGGGCAACACCTCTTTAGGTCAACTCAAAGTCACAAAATAATTCTCTGAAGGATCAGAGAGATGAAGAAATAAACAGTGGCTGACTTTCAAGTCCGTGACCTGATAAGATTTGCAGAAACATTTTTAGAGCTTTTTTTTTTTAGTTTATTTACAAACTGTTTGCATTAGAGGAATATGCATTGAATATATATCTTATGAACAGATATATGAATATGGAATGTCAAAAGAAGAAATAGGCTTCAAATACTATGCTTCATAAACATCTGATAATACCACTGTTTCCTAGTTCAATGTACTGTTTAGAATGTTAAACAAATCTTAATAAGAGAAATATGTGGTTCTTCAAACTGGATCCATTGGTTTGGATGGAGGAAACAGATGGTATCTGACTCCACAACGGGGAGTAGATGCGTGTGAAGCACAGGCTAAGGAGGTCACCCCAGAGTAGGAAACAAAGGCACTCACTGCCAAAAAACACTGTACAACTGATTGAATTGAGAATATTTTAAACTATTTTAATTTGGGTACTAATGTTAGGTGGCAGTTCATTAATTTGTATCTCTTCTAGGTTGGCTACATGCCTATCACACTATATGTAAATAAAAGTCAAATTATGAAAATGACTTCCAGATAACTTAGCTGTGCTCATTTCCAGAGGATGTATTGCATTTTTAAAGCACAGATTACTGGTCTCCTGTTTTATCCTTTGATATTCTCATTAAGAAGGCTTTCCTCGAGTCCCCAGGAGGGTGAAAAGAGTCTCCCCTGGGCTCCAGAGGCCCTCCGGAGGCCGGAAACAGGCCCATTTCTGGACTTTCGATAGGCCCATTTTTCTGGTAGGCCCATTTTTTTGTGTGGGCCCTGCACTTACCTGGCCGTCGGTCATACAATGTCGGCTGGAGGGCCCTCGGAGGAGAGCATTCTCGGTGGCTGCTCC